AACGGGTAAACAACCTTTCTATGTCCTACGTCTTTACTAAGCTTACTACTAATACACTTAATTACTATAACTTCCGTCTGGGGTACCGGTACTCCAGCTAGTTATATATATATATATATATATATTTTTAAATGAAAGGTTACTATGAATAGAGGGTGCTGAGAAACCACGTGTGAAAACATGGGTAGTGAGAAGAGAATGAAAGTTGCTCGAAAAGCTACGAAAGGCAAAGGAAAACAGTGGGAAAATGGACAGAGTAGCAGCAGCAACCCAAAAACTAGAAAATTTAGAAACCAAGCTCGGAGCAAGTTTTTTAACTTTAATCCCATTCTAGGTATGTAGGTTACTGATAGTATTAATACAAACGTTAGTACTACTACTAGTAGTACTGTTGCGGAATGAATTTTTGTTCTGACACAGCGTCGATCTCTGTCGGTGTGCTGAATCGTACGATGAGATTTGGCAGCTGCAAATACCAAATTCTGTCTTCTCATCCAAATTTTACGCCATTCTAATTTACAGTAAATGTTTTTTTTCTAACATTATTCATTTAATTTTTTGTTTTGAACAAAACGTATTTAATTAGTCTTGTTTCATGTTATATCAACAGTGCTATTTCGTTATATTATTTACTTTTTTATTGTTAAGCCTAACTGAACAATTATAATTTATAGCAATACAAACACTGAAACAGTAATAACATGCAACTTATAAGTTATAAGTAAATATTACCAGATAACATTTTTGTTTATTGTAAATGTCTTCGAACATTTGGTTATTCATTAAAATAAAATTATCATCCCATTGTTTTCGTTTTCAAGGTAGATGACAAATAACTTCAGATAAATGTTTTTTTTAATACTATGACTAGTATGAGACTTTTTGACTTGCACCATTTTTAAGGGTCTTTGAACATCACAGGCTGTGGTACTAGCATATTTAGAAGGAAGTTCATAAAAAATTAATGTGTAACCATTAGTTAATAATTTATTACACTAAGACTCGTAATAGCAAGAGTTATTAGGCATATTACTAGGATTAGGAATAACTTGTTACTGTTAGTAAAAAGTACTAACATCTAACTGTTAGTTTTTAGTTTAGAAATACCTTTTCTTCTATTCTCTTTTTTTCTCCTTGTAGGTCATTATTTTTTTATTTATTATGCTTATTAACTCGAAATTAGAAACCTAAGACTTTGTTGTAATGTTTCACTTGAACTTCCAAGAAAGTTATAGTTGCATCTGCACACAAAATCGATTTTAACACTATCATTCATGGTAAAATGTGCCCAGGACCTTATGACTTTATATATTTTACTACAAATTAAAAATTCAACTCCTACTAGTTAGAAATAAAGGTTCAAATTGGGAGTGCTTGGCAGCTGTATTTTTTAATTACATTAAACAGTTAACTTAAAATTGTTCATTGTTTTGTTTTATATATGTTTATTTGCAGGTTTAGTATGACATAGTTTCTTATTTGTTTCATTCTAGTTTTGTGGTAGTACTAGTAATATGAAGGCATTAAACCAGGGAATTGTAAGATGCATGAATGCACATAGTGCAGTTAGGAGGCTGACATGATATTAACGTTTATATTAATTTGGCTAGACGTATATACAAGGCCTAAAAGAGCTTTGTTGGTGATTCTTTATTTGGAACAATCTTTTCAACATAAGAGTTTTTAAGCTTGAAATGAATAAAAAGATCAGTTGTAAAAGTAAATTTCTTTTTTGTTATTTAAGATCCCTGAAATGTAAAAGATAATCACAGAACAGAGATTTTGTTTTTTGAGATGTGTATATATATGCACTAGTATTTAATTTGTGAAAGGACTAAGCAGTATGACATGTAAAGGGACTAAAATAGGATTTTTACAATTTAAATTTCTTTTATACATTTAACAAATAATATATACAATAGACACCATTATATCATATTTAAGTTGACAGAAAAAGACATCAAAATTATTATAATATTCAACAGAAACATGTTGCATCAATGTACTCAGTCCAAAGAATGAGGGCTGTTATCTGTAAGTTCTACAGTATCATATAGCCCTGTAGGAATGGAGTGAATGATGTCATTTTCCTCACGGCAGTAATATCTAAGAAACCACACAAGACATGCTGTGTGAGTAAAACTCTTACATCATCTATGCTCTGATATACCATGCTGAAATGGGTGTATTAGAATTGGCAGAATACTCAATTATTCAGGAATACAATACTCTTTGCTGGATAGGTACCTTGAGTGTATTTTTCTATATAACAGTATCATTTTCCTTGCTGACCAAAATATCACACAGTCCATTTGAAAAAACGTTCTGCTTGTTTAAATTGGTAAGCACCCAAAGTACGAGAACAAAGATAACTTTCAGATAGTTTATTTTAATTTCCAAATATGACTTGTTTGGGTAAGAGTTCCATATGGCACCCCCACTCAATTTAAAAAAAAAATTCATCAAAGTAATATTTAT